TTTTTTTTTTTTTGAGACAAAAGTCTCACTTGGTTATTTTTGGTAGAGTGCTGTGGCATCTTAGCTCACAGCAACCTCTAACTCTTGGTGCAACCAAACTCTTAAAAGGCTGTTGCAGAGATAAGAGGGTTAATGTCACTTATCCACAGTGCATACTGCAATAACCCCGTCTTCCTAGAAACAGCCTATCCTATCTTTATTGTGACACCTCTTTTCTAGGAGCAGGGTAGAAGTCTGAATGAGTAATCAGGTGCTTCCTTAGTAAGCACAGAATGTAAGTGAAAGACATAGAAGATATAAATAAAATCCATTAAGACAAAGCAAAGTCTGTAAACTACCCCAGCCTCACAGTACATTCTATCCCTTAAGTGCCCAAAGGGTTTACATCAATTAGATCCCCAATTATTAGCACAGGGCCTGAGACAGAAGAAGATTTCAAGAATTGTGAAATAAATGAGTGAGTAAGTGAATGAATACTACTTAGAGTGTATTTCTCCATTAGCCCCATGGGTACATTATCACTAGCCACTTTTACCCAACAGAAAACAAACTGATTTCTACTTCTATCAGTGTAGCCTTAGATCTTAAACCCAACACTGGATTCCAGATTCTTTGCCTTCTCCACTACACATACAATAGAAAGTAAAACAGTTGTAGCCACCATGTTTTTTGGTATCTTTCACCACCTCTCAATGTTTGTTTCCCTTCTTCTACCAACAGCCACTGAGGAAGAGTTTCCTTAGGTAGCCATGTTTATATGCTGGGATGCTGTTCTTGGACACAGCTGATTGGACCAAAGTTGAACACCTGATCTATGATCTGCCAATCCATTGGCTGGCCAGGAACGAATCAGATTCAACCTTCAAACCTGGATCTCATGGGATCAGAGGACATGGTCAATTGTTGATAGCTATCTCAACTGAAAAGTCATGCAGAGTCTGGTCCTGACAAACCAACACCATGCAGATAAGGTGCTGCCATGGATGAATGAGAAGAGTAGGAAGGCTGGTCTGCAGTTAGGAGAAGCTGTGCTTTAAAGCCGTGTGGTACACAGAGAGCCAGAGTAGCTGCTTTGGCTTGTGGTCACTTTCTGTGGCTCCCAGTCCCAGCCTGCAAAGCTGGGATTTACTTCTCGCCCTGAAGTTCAGTAAGATTTTCCTATATCCTTTCAATAATCTCTTGAGAAAGTCTAAGTGAATTTCTGTCCTCTGCTCACAACTCAACTGTGGCCAAAGCAGACTCTGGAGGGGAGAGAAGATTCTCAAACTTTCCCCAAGACTCAGTTTTCTCACCTGTAAAATAAGAGATGCACCACAGGACCTTAAAATTCCCTGCTTCCAAGGAAGTTTAAGAACTCACAGTGTTTCGTGCTAATGCCAGGAAATAAGCAAAGACTCAGAGAAGGAAAGTTGAGTCAGGAAAAATTCTGTTGACTCATCTCCCCACTTCCTCCCCTGGCCTGTAGTCCTGAGAAGACGGAAACAATGTTGGAAACTTGGAGGCCGCTTTGCTTAACACACTGATCAGAGCAACCAGGACCCCAACATCACTGCTGTCAGAAATTAGACCCAATTATGCCTGCAGGAGAGTAAAGCCAATGTGGTCTTTGAGGCACAAGAATGTCCTACAAAGAAGGTTCTGAGGCACTGCTGCTTACGTCAAGGATGGCGGGGTTTCCAAAGACAACAACAATGGCTGCCGCATGCCCTGGTGTGGCCTGTTGGGTGCAGAGCTACCAAAGCTATGGAATCTTTCTGCTCTATGTGCTCTTGTTGATCAATGGAGAAAAAGTCCTTTTCCCTGGTACAACGCTTGATTGAAACTGGTTTTCTGAAAGCCAGCTGGTCCAGATTTGGGTTTAACTTCTGTTCCCTGGGATAGGCTTATCCTCAGTGCTAGGTACGCTCCTCAGATACTCTTAGCTGTTGCCTGCCCCCAAGTTCTATGATCAATTAACATGAATTACCTTGGGAGGGATACAGAAGTATCCTTCCACAAGGATGTTTCCAGAGCTCTGCAGTCATCTGGATCAGCTGTGTCTCTCTCCAACCCCCAGCATCACCAGCTTGGGTTTCTACCCACTTCCCACCTGGTCTTTGTTAAGGAGAAATCTCTGCTCTCGGATTCTAAGGAGACTGTTTAACCTTTAGCCTGTTTCTTCAGCCACAAAATGGTTAAAGTACCTTCTACCACAAGGGGGTTCCATGATCCTAAACGAGTGATACATGAGAACTGTGTGACTACACTTGGTGTCTACTGCTTACAGACTTGGAATCACCTTCCAAACATATCTCTTTAGACCAATGAGAACACAGAGCCTTTGTGACGAGCAGGCAGAGCCAGAGATGTCTGGATCACTCTATAGACATGCTATTTGAAGGACTGTAGCCAAGTGATAGGGGACACAGGCAGAATCCTGGTACCCAGTGGGCAAAGAGGTGAGGATGGTAATGAATGGGGCTGTGGCCCAGAAATGCAAATGCCTCAACACACTCACCCTGTCCCAGGGTCAAAGGCATCACAATTGGGTCTTTGTTCCAGAGTTCAGAAGCCTTACTCACCACTCTTTCCAAAGCCAGCTTGCAGGATGCACAACATGCCTCCTCTTCCCCACTCCCCCACCATCAGCCTCCAGTTTCCTTGATCAGAAACCACCCTCCCAAGGATCTGCAGTCTGGCCCTCTTCCCTTCCCCCTTCCACCCACTAGTTTCTCTGGTTAAGCTCCTGGTTTCTGATAGCTACAGATGAGTGGGTTTGCACAGGCAACCATACACTCCAGGTGCCTCTGCAGTAAAGACACTCAACTCCCAGAGAAGTGGGAAAGCCATGTTCACATCCTGTGATTTACCCAGCCATGAAGTTCAGACCTAGGAATGTTAGCTGTAGCCCCTGCTTCCACGCAGGTCACCTCCATCTTATAGAAGGGATAACTAAGGCCCCCAGAGAAGTTAAGGGACCTGAAGCTACCCAGCCAGCAAGTGGTAGGCAGAATCCTGCTTCTAACAGAGCTTCCTCAGAGGGTCTGTGTGCCAGACTGGGCAGCTCTGGACACAGGTGGTGAGGGGGAGCTAGGGTACCTGGGCACCTCACACAGTCATCAGGAGGTATTCAGGACAGCACCGTCTCCTTTTTCAAGCCTCACACAGACTCTCACTTTTTCAAAGCTCTCCTTCCCTCACTCCTGGACAGGACTCCAAGTGTTCCCAGGGTCCTGGATATGGGACAGAGAAAGCACCCAGGTCCCTGGAGTCATGAAGCCTCAAAGCAGGATGGACTTCTTTTCATGTGGTATCCCCTCCTCAGCCATCCTGGCCCATGGCTGTCCCCTAAAGACATCGGGGGTTCATTACCTCCTGCTGCCCAAGGGTTATACAGCTGTGGAGGTGAGACCGGGCAAATAAGGTGGCAGGAGAGTCCTTATGCCAGAACTTCTGAAAAGAACTGACCTTATACTTTCCTGGTGCAAGTTCCAGAACAAACATCTCCCTAACTTGGGACCTCCCATTTCACCATCAGAGATCCCTTCTTTGAGTCTCAAAGGTGCTCAGGGGTTCCAGAGCCAGACCCTCATGGCATTGCCAGCTTCCTTTGGGGATAAGGGCGTGGAGCTGTTAGCATGACAAAGACTGGGGGCAAAATTGTGCAGGTAGAAGATCATTGTGGGCACCTGGGACATGCCTCTGCCAGCTGGGGACTGTCACTGCTAACCACCTTAGTGATGACTCCAGACACAAGGGCACAGCCTGACCTAAGACCCTAGACCCAGGAGGGCCATGAGTCAGGTCTACAATGGCACCACAGCCCTTTTCTCCTGAGCCTGCCTCCCCCAGGAGGCCTACTAGGATTTCCTCAGTGCCCCTGCAGTTCCTTATCCCTTAGAGGCATAGGAATCAAGAACCCAGGAATACCCTAGTTCTGCACAACCTCAGGGGACTTGCTTCCCCTGGATCTCTCTGAGCCTCAGTTATTCTATCTATAGAATGGGCACCATGGTCCTTTAGTTTGCCTTCCTTTTAGGGGTCAAAATACTGGAAGGGGACAAAGTGGGACAAGGAGAGAATAACAGGCCCCTCCCCTCTGGAAATATCCACCAAATGGTTCAGAGAGGCTCCTGTACACAGGGCCCTTCCCCACAGCAAATCAAAACCCAAACAAAACACCCCAGGAGCTAATTCAAGTCTTAGCAGGCTGTGGGGCAAATCACTGTGGATGTCCTAGAAACAAGTCCCATCTCTGGCCCTATAGGGGCTGTATGGTCCTGCACCTGGGGACTAACAGACTTCGGCTGTCCTTTCTCCACCTGTTATGACTCTTGTTGGCAAGGATCAACGCACTTTGGTCTACTCGGCAAAAACTTTGGGACCAGCACCCCCTGGGCAGCTGTCAACACAGTCTTTATGTCAGCTGTAGGACCCTCTCTGGCCTGGGGATCTGACTTCATCTCCTGCCTGGGCCTTGGCCTCCTGCTGCAGGAGCCAATCACCTCACCAGCCAGACACCACCTCTGCCAGGCCTGGCCTTTCCTTAAACAACTCCCTGGGGTCCTGGGGACCCTGGACCCCATGGTGATTTTATGGCCTGCCTTCCTTACCAGCTAGCTGGATTCTCCTGCCCCTGCCTGGACCCAGGCTTCGAATTGGCCCCAGCAGAGGAAGCTGCTGCTGTGTACCGGGTGAGCTGGAAGCTACCTTCTCTGTGGGCCTTGGAGGGCATGGGGACCCTGAGCAGGGGCTGCACGGTGTACCTGTGTCTGCTGCCCTGGCCTTGCATTAACACAAGCCGGTTAATTACCCGGGCAGGGGAGACATTCTTCCACCACCAGGCAAACTGCTGGCCTGCAGCCCAAACCAACAGGGGAAACTTCAGCCTCCTCAGCCCTCTCCCTGCCAGATGGAAATAACGTATAGCTGCAGAGGTGGGGGAGGAGGAATGAACAAAAACCAGCCCGGCTGAGGAGCCAGGCCGGAGCCGAGTGGACAACCACCGGCCAGGCACTCACCACTTTCGTTCTTCTCGATGACGTCCACCACCTCCCCCGCCTGGAGGCTCAGCTCCGAGTTCTCCTGCTTCTTATAGTTGGACACCACCACATACTGTTCCAGGATCATGGGCTCGGCGTTGGTGTCGGCACCTGGCGAGGGCAGAAAGCACGCGGTGAGCCAGCGGCCAGCCATGGCCCCGCGGCTGGGGCGCCCCCTGTCCATCGGCCTCCTCGGGGGAGGCTGCTCCGTCGCCAGTGCCGCTCCAAGGGGCAGCCCGCAGCCGGGGCTTGCAGCTCGCTGGGCCCCAAGGACAGGCCATATAGCAAGGCCCCACACCGGCCCGCTACACCGCGGGGACCGGGGGACATGGGAGCCAGGGGGCTGGGGAGGGGACAGTGGAGGAGGGGAGGAGAGAGGCAGGAGGTGGAGGTGGAGGCTAAGAGAACTTAGAAGCTTCTGCGGATGGGTTAGTCACAGCCCAGCATGAGGGCGTCTGCGGAGAGGCCTGGGGCCCATGTGGTCTCTCCAGACTCTTGGGCCAGCAGGGGTGCAAGGGGAGGGCCTCGGGCAGGAGGGCAGCCCATGAGGGCTGAGGTCAGAGTGCAGGAGGGAGAAGGAGGACAGGCAAGGAGGAGGCTCCTGCCTCGACCCTCGGCCCTGCAAAGCAGAGAGAAAAGGCAGCCCTGCTCCCTCAGGCGGGAGAGGGAGAGGCAGACAGGAGAGAACTTCTCTGCGGCCCAGGCCCAGGCAAAGAGTCAAGGGTTTGAGGCCGCCAATCACTGGGGCTTACTCGCAACCCTTAAATAGAAACACATGAGACCCATCGAATGAGGAGCCGGGGGTGGAGGCAGGGGAGGGGAGGAGGTAGGGGAGGGGAGGAGGCCCAGACTGTTTACTTGAAATCCAAGAAGAAAGTCCCAGAGCCAGCCCGCCCCCTGCCAGTTTTTCCTCAAGTTCAGCTGTCCCTGCCCTGGGGCTCACTGAGGCGCTGCCAGGAGCCCAGGGCTGGGCCCCCAAACCCCATGCAGGCCCCAGGTTCCCAGCAGCAAGCAATTTCTCTGTCCACCTCAGCCACTGGACCAGTGAACATTTGTTAAGTAAGCGTCAAGCTGGAAGGTGAACAGGCTGGATGCCCGTTTTAGCCCACTAGCTATGTGGCATCAGACAGCAGCTTGACACCTAAGATATTACATGCCTTCCTACCTAAAAGGATCTACAAACCAGGGATGGACTAGTCACCTCCTATAGGAAGCCTCCCCAGACCACCTCAGCCCAAAGGGAATTCCTAGTATACTTCTACAACTGTTCATCTGCCAGTCTCCTTGAAGGATGGGGATTCTACCACTAGTCTGGCTACAGAAATGGTGGGGGTCTCCAGGCGCCACACAGCCCCACTGTGACAGCCTGACCTGGCAAAGGTTATGTGCCAGGCACATTTACTGCCCTATTTGTCCTCACAACACTCCTCTTATCTTCTCTTTTTATAAAAGACTAATCAGAGACCAAGAGAGGGTATGAGACACACCCCAGCTCCCACAGCTGGGATGGAGAACCAAATTCACTATTTTTTTAGGTTCAAGGCCATCTGTCTTTCCATTACAGAACAACCGCCACTGGTTTCTGTTTCCATTCATCTCATCCTTCTAGCACAGTGATTCTCAACTTGGTAGCACAGAATCACCTGGGGAGCTTTAAACGCTCTGGAAAGCCTGGCTTAATTAGTCTGGGGCTCAGACATGAGTATTTTTTGGACACCCGCTTTGTGCCCCCATCATGCACCAGGAGTAAGAAGCACTGCTTAGATCTTTGGGTCCTTCGTGGGGAGGCTCCATCCACCCTAGGGCAGGGGGCAATTGCCACAGAATGTTGGGAAAACCCATGGGAGGCCCTCCTTTGAGGGAGAAAGAAGCCCACTGACCCCAGCAGTTTCTTCCCATGAGGTATGGGCTCTGCAAGTCCAGCTGAACCCTTTGGAAACTCAGAAGGGACTCTGTCCCAGCTGAGGCATGCCACATGGATTCGCACATGCATAATCCCAGGCAGCCCCTCCAAAGCCAGGATTGTATTTCAGGCAGAAATGCAAACAACAGCTGGGCAGCAGGGCCCACCCGGCCTCTGCACTTCGATGCAGCCGGCTTCTAGGCCTGCCCCTGCCAGCTGGGCAGAGCAGCAGTGGGCACTGCACTGACAGACTGCCTCCCACTGTGCCCCTGGGGCACAGCACAGCATGCCTTGGCCTGGCCTGGTGCACTGGGTGTGGAGCCTCCACGGCCAACAGCACCTCTTAAGTGTACCTGGCAGGAAAAGGGCCAGTCTCTGCTCTGTGGGTTGGGGGGCTCCCTTACCAGTCTAGGGGGCACTGGATGAGAAAAGGGGGAAAGGAAGACTTAAGATACAAACACAAGAAAGGAGTTCCACAGCGGGTTAGGCCTTCCAAGTCCCAAGTGTATGCAGATCATGGCAATGACACCAGCAAGCCTTCAGGGGCACTTACTGGGCATCAGTGCCGTGCCAGGCTGTGCATGCCGGCACTGCTGCCTGTCATCCTCACAACAACTCTACATGGCAGACCCTGCTGTAGCCCCATCTTACACAGTGGCAACCTGAGTAACATGTGAGCAAGCAATCTTTTTTAAAATATTAAGATTAATGTGAGGGTACAAGTAGGTTACAATGTTTGCATTTGTTAGGTAGAGTCCTTCTTGTAGTTGTGTCCCACATCCAAGAGGTGTGCCATAGACCCTTACATTGTGCCCATTAGGTGGGAGCACACCAACCCCCACTTCCCTTGGGCCCCTCCCCACAACTTGAATTGAGTTTTTCTCTTATGGGGGCATGTATTAGATTGTCATATTAGTACTGAGTATATTGGATACTTTCCTAAGAAGAATGTGTTTCAACTACATCCAGGTTAATACAAAAGATGTAAAGACGCCCATCTTTTTTATGGTTGAATAGTATTCCATGGTATATGTATATATATACCACAGTTTGTTAATCCATTCCTGGGTTGATGGGCATTTAGGTTGTTTCCACATCTTGGCATTTGCAAATTGAGCAAGAGCAAGCAATTTTCCTAAGATCACACAGGTGGGATTCAACTAAGACCACCTGACACCATCTCTTGTGATCTCAACTTCCTCCCTGTACACAGCCTTGGCCGGCCACTGATACCTGGTCTCTAGGGAAGGGACCTGCCTCATCTTATCCCCCAGATACCCGGCACACCATTGGTGCTTAATAAAGACTAGATCAGGGGTCCTCAAACTTTTTAAACAGGGGGCCAGTTCACTGTCCTTCAGACAGTTGGAGGGCCGGACTGCAGGCCCAGGGATGAGGTGGCTGCTAAGCAGGACAGGCAGCGGCGGCAAAAACACCCAGCGGGCCGGATAAATGTCCTAGGCGGTCTGCATGTGGCCCATGGGCCGTAGTTTGAGGCCGCCTGGACTAGACTATGGGTTTCTTGTTGACTCTTACCACCTCTATGGACCAGACCACAGTGCCCAGTTGGTGGAAAGCACTCAATGAATGTTTGCGAAATGAATGAGTAAAACAAATGAACCAGCAGATGGCTGAACACAGTGACTCTCTGGTTTGTGGAATCAGTATGCACAAGCCAGGCAGGGGCTCACCTCTGAAATACGGGAAGAGTTGGTGCCTAAACTCCAAATGAGAGAGGGGAGGAGGGGAACAGGAAGGAGGAGCAGGGACGTTGGGGTTTGTGGCTAGAAGATGCTAGAGAGGACAAGGAGGAGGTGCTGCGAGTTAGGAGACATCAGCTCATTTCAATTCAAGCCAAGAAAATCTGAGGCAAGATTTCAAAGTGGAGGAAAATCCACACACCCACACCCCCTGCCCCCACAACCTTCTTGGAAAATTGGCCTAACAGGCTGGGACACAGGTAAAAAAGTTAAGAAAACGCTCTCCAGGCATTAGCATGGACAGGTTGTGGCACTTCTTGGAGGCTACTCCAAAGGTTATGGGATGGATACAAAGACAGACACTGTCCTTCTGGGTCCTGCACACCTCCCCCAGCCCATGCAGGCTCCCAGCTCGCTCCTCTGGCAGCTTCCTCTTAGGGGGTTGCCTGCCTAGGGCAGGAAGGAGCTGGGAGCAGGTATCCAGATGAGAAACCACTGGGCAGGCAGTGGGTGGTGATGTCATCCCACAGAGGCTGCTGTGGATCTCCTCCCAGCCAAGGCTAGAGAATTGGGGGTAGGAAAAGTCTGCCAGAGGAAGGGAGGGGGCAGTGGCTTCTTGCCTTTAGATGAGAAGGACTTGGCAGCAACATAGAGAAGGGGTATCCCCCTTCTAGATAGTAGAGCCTCTCTCAGGTCAAAAGGGGACTTTACGTAAGTCCTGTTCAGGGGCAGACTCTGTGTTTTATTAGAGCCCCTTGCTGGGGGCCTGGGGGTCCCCTAGACCCCTGTCCCACCCTTGCCTCACACCTGCATTCCTCCAACTACCACCTGGATGGAACCTTGGCTCCTGCCTGTCAACTTGAACTTCTAAACTAGGCTTTTGCTAAGTCAGTCTCCTGCTCTAACACCTTCTATGGCTCCTTGTTGCCTGTAGAATAAAGGCCAAATTCAAGCTTAGTCTTTCTTGCCAATCTAAGCTCCCCACATTCCACCATTCCTGACACTCTGCCCCCACCATTCCATGCAACAATCATGATTCAACACAGGTGTATTGAGCACCTACTATGTGCCAACGATACCGTTCTGTGCAGGTTGTTACTTTCCAAGCATTTGCTTTAGCTGTTGGCTCCTGCCATGAATGCCTTCCCTTTTTCTCTCTACCATCTCAATTCTTCCCAAGAGGTCCTCTCCTCCGGGAGGCCCTCTGATCACTGCAGGCATGGTACTTGCTCCTGGACTTCCTAGTGGGCATTTCTCCCCAACCAGACCATGTACTTTAGACAGTCATCCTGATTGAGAGCTGACGCCTCAGGACTACTTGTCATAAAATAAGACAATGGACACAATGGTGACCTGAGACTCATGATGCAAAAGCTTAGAATTAGAGTCTAAGGGTCAGAGGTCCATCAGCTAACCTCTCTGAGCTTTAGCTTCCTCATCTGTAAGTAGGAACGGTATCTACACAGTATCTACCTCCTGGGGCTGTTCTAAGCATGGAACAAAGTGACTGGAGTTAAAGCCCTAGGTAAACTGCAGGCAGTAGTTAACAAAGCAAACAGAGAATGGGAGATTTGGGGAGGAACTGGAGGTTTTGGTTCCTCTGCAGCTTCAGAACCACCAGGAAGCTCAGGGTAAGGGCTACAGGCACCGAGAAGGTGGGGCAAGGACCCTTGGCAGTGTCCCTCAACATGTCTCCCCCAGAACCCATTCCAGGCAGGCCGTGGGGACTTGCTGGTTGGAGAGAGCCAGGCTGGTTGGAGAGAGCAAAGCCAGTGGGCACCCCCTGTGCCCACTCTGGGGTAGATGCCAGGGTTAGCTGCTGATGTCCCTTATCTCAATGATCTCTCACATTAGCCCCTTACCTCTAGTTTCCTGTCTCATAGAACTCTCCACCACTCCAGATAGAGAAACCAAGGCCCAGAGAGACCTGGCAATTTGCCTGAGACTCCCACCCTGGACTCCTAGTCTGGCTGGGTTTCCCCTCGGCTCACACAGCCTCTCCTGGGGCCTCTTGCTTCAAGCAATAGAGCTCATCCTCAGAAGCCAGGCCCTGTAGTGGCCTCCACTCCAGACTCCAGGCTCCCTGTAACCCCCTAACCCTGGCATCTCACCAAAGTCCCTCTGGCCCCTCACAACTGGCTCCTCCCAGGCCGGACTGAGCCTGCCGGCCTCTCGGCTATACGTTTGGTGAATAAAATGTATTGCTGTGGGCCAAGTGGGCTCGGGCTCACTGGCCTGTGGAGAGGGGAAAAAGGGACAGGAGCCCAGTGATTAGCTCAGGCCCAGGCCCTCAGCACAAGGAACACTGGGAGGACGTCTGCAGGGGAGGGGGTCTGCATTCCCACTCTCTGCCTTCTCTTCCCCTCTGGATCCCTCCCAGGACACCCCCCTCCCATTCTCTGCTCGCAGCTGTGGTGGGCAGGGCGGGGCCTTAGGCCCTCACCCCCAGAGATGCCCCACCACTCCCACCAACCCCTGACCCTTCTGGATTGTCCCCTAACCCCCAGGCCTGAACCTCTGCTGTCAAGTTTGGGGCTGAAAGAGGGGGGATGGGTAACACTCTCAGGAATAGAGGGGGTCCCTAAAGAGCCTTCTGGAAGTCTCATCTCTCTTCCAACCATCTCCCTCTAGGAGCTGAGAATCTTGAGGTCCTGGTTTTTCTGCCACTGTACAGTAAGACTAAAGGCTAAAGGCAAGCTTCTGACCCCTGGTCCAGCTCTTCCTGGACACAGGCCAAGGCTAAAGTCCCCGAGGACCAACTCAGCCAGGCAGGCCAAAGCCTTGAAAGTCCCCTGCAGCCAGAGGCAGCTCCAAACTTTGGACCGCTAGAGAATGGGGGCTGTGACCCACCAGTCACAGTCACAGGACTGCCCCAGCCTTGTCTCAAATCTCCAGCTCCCCAGTGAGATCACTGGAAACCAGGCTTGGGCATCTGGGTGCTTAGCACTCTGCTTTGGTCTAAATGCCTGAAATGAGTTGAATCCTGTTTTGTTGGCCCATCTCTCTAGGATGGCCAGCTGAGATAAGCTGCAGCTGATGAGATGGGAGCCCCACCAGCACCACAGCACTGTGGGTGTGCGAGGCTCCTCACAAGGTAGCATGACATCCCTCGGGGAGGTAACACAGCCACCCTGAGGCAGCACAGCCAGGATGTGGCAGAGTTGGGATTCAAACCCACACACCCTGGGGCCAGAGCATGCGTGCTCACACGCTGTGCTCTGTGGTTATCACCCCTCAAAGGGCTCCAAGACTGGATCTGAAAACCAAGGTTAACTAAGGAGGCAGCGGGCACAGTGACTGGAAGATGCCCAGCCTGCCAATAAAGGGCCACTACACATCACGAGGAAACATGCAGAAAGCCACTGTGGGCACTAGCTCTCACGAACACATGCCTGGAACACGCACGTTCACATGCAGGCACTCACGTGGATACCGGGCAGTACCTGTCACGTCCTTCTTGGGAGACTCAGCCCAGCTGGAGAGCCACACTTCCGAGTGCCCAAGAGCAAGCAGCAGCAGGAGAGGAGAAGCAGAGGAGAGAACTGTTAGGCAGGCAGGAGATCCGCAGTGAGTGGCTGCAGGGGCCGCATTCGGCCGGCCACGGGCGGAAGGCGGAGGAGGGAGGGGAGTGATTTCCTGGTCCTGGGCTGGCTGTTGGGTGTGGGCCTGTATGATTACAGAGGCACTGGGACACAGCGGGCTGGGACAGGGATAATGAGGTGTCTGCTGAAACGCAGGAATCCTCTGCAGCAGAGAATCCTACACAACCCCCGCATTGGAATGGCGCCCACGGGTTATCATGGCCTGCACAAGGCAGTCTGATCCCTCCTCTCTGGGCATGTGGGTGGCTGGCCCCACAGGGCCTGGAGGCTCCAGGATCCTCAAAAGCCAGCAGGCTCAGTGGCCTGGACCTGGAACCTCAAGTATCAGAGTTGGAGTGCCCAAGCCAGTCTTCCTGATGTCCTGTCCAGCCTTTGCCACAGCCCCATGTAGTAAGGAAGACAGGCCCTAGCAGAATAGAAGGGAGCATCATTTTAGAGTCTCACTGCCCAACCCCAACCCAGAAGGATGGGGACCTTTTGTGACCAGAACAGATGAGAGCTCTATTCTAAGCTCAGACGGGAGTGTCTCATCTGGGCCTCAATTTCCCTACCTATGAAATAGGGTTAAAAGTTGTCCTCCTGCTAAAAGGGAGGACAGCAAAATCAGAGCACCGTAAAGAATACATGATTATGAGATGTGATACCATCTACACCATAACAAGGCAGAAAGCTTCTGGTCTAATCAAAGACAAACACCATACAAAGAACACTGACATGCGGAAGGTGAAGGAGGGAGGGCGGAGGAGGGAGGGGAGTGCTCATTCATTCCCCATGGCAATCCCATTAGGTAGGTATGCATTTTCAGCCACATTTTACATGGGAGGAATCTTTCAGATAGGAGAGGCAATGGCCCCAAACCTCAATGTTGGAGAAACAGAACCAGCTCTGATGCATCCCCAAACTGTTGCTTTGTCTGCTGGGATACTCACCACCTCTGGAGTGTAGCCCTGTCTACAGTGGAGACAATTACAAGACATATTGAACTGCGAGTCTGGGAGACAAACCCTTGCACCCCCTACTCAGTGCTGGCCAAGAGAGCAGCGTGGTCTACTCACAGGCATCAGCAAACAATTATAACAGCATTTACTCTCTGCTAAAGCCTGGGTGCTGAGCACTTTACATATAGTAACTTGTATGTTACAACAAACTGACAATGATAGATACTATTATTTCCTCCACTTTATAGATGAAGAAAGTGGACCAGAGAGGTTAAGCAACTTGCCCCATGTCACACAGCTAGTATAGTGTCCATCTTTGCAGGGACACTGGCCACCAAAGCTTGATGCCATTCACCATTTATTTGAAGTACCTAACTCTCTCCCTTGCTCAGCAAGCACTCCCTAGTTGCAGGCTAGCTCCCCATGTGGAACCAAGAGGCCCGGCGCTGCCAGTTCTCTTTGTAAACCAGAAGAGTGGAGCTCTGGAGGAGAGGTTCCATAAGGCATCAGGAGTCACACTGCTTAAAATCTAGGCTCTGCTCCTTCGAGAAAGCTATGTAACCTCTCTGAGCCTCTTCCTGAACTTGTAAAAATCTGGTTCAAGTGATATACTTATCTTCTGGGAGTCTGTGAAAGAGTAAATGAGATAACACACTGTGTATGACAGCACCAGCACCATGCCTATACGTAGTGGGTACTTGATAATGGCAATCCGCCATTGGCAGTATCTCCTGTGAGTGTGGTTGACATAAGCCTCGCTCCCTGGGTTCAGTCAGCTCTGGGGGCACCAGAAAAATCTCACTCCTGAAACTATAAGGACAAAACTAGACGGTGTTTGACATAGGATGCTGCAAGAAAATGCTGGCAACCCATCAGAGATCCTTCCCTACGGTCCCTCTCCGAGACCAGGTTAGCAGAATTGGAGGTAGACAGACTCATGGAGACATCACCCAGACTCTCTCCCCAGGCCTAGTAGTCAGCAGCTCACTGGCCCAGCCCTCAAGCCCTGGTATAGCTGAGATAAGGGGAACACATTCAGATCCCCCAGGCTTTCAGCTATTGTGGCCAAGCAGGTCTGAGGTCAGAACATGAGGCTTCACTGCCTGGGGTCTGCACCGTGCTGAGGTTCCAACTCCCTACTGCTGTACCCCAGAGATGTGGTCACATGGGCTGCCCCCCAGCAAGGCCATGCCAGGCCCTTCCCAGTCCCATCTGACCCTACATAAGGCCTGTGCCAACCCAGCTGAGAGATCGTCCACATCTCTCTCCACCTTGGCATGCTTTACCACTTTGTATACCTTCCTTTTGGGGTTCTTCCTAAGGAAACCTCTCTCAGTGAGCCAAGGGAAGGTATTTTGCTTGGACCTAGAGAACCCAAGAAGCCCTCTTCTGCTAGAACAGCGTCTATATGGACCCAGTGAATAGCTATTTTAGGCTTTGGGAACCAGGTGGTCTCTTCTGAGACTACTAAACTCTCTTCTTGTAGTGCAAAAATAGCCACAGACCACTTGTAAAATAGGTGAGCTGTGTTCCAATAAAACTTTATTTACAAAACCACAAAGTGGGCCGGACTCGGCCTGTGGGCAGACAACCCATGCCTGTCCTCTTTATACCACCCCCCAATAGCAGGCCTTCCCATCTTTCTTCTCCAACAGAAAATGGTAAGTAGACCAGAAACAAGACTGTCTTTTTAAGAGTCTTTCAAAAATATGATTTATTTCCCAGTCTCTTGACCTGCAGAATTAATCCAGTTCCATTGCTCCCCCTCAAAATCCCCACCCCCATTAGGAGTCTATTCTGTCCAGCCCACCCCAGCAAGCTTTCTCCTAGGGAGGGAAGGACTCCTTCTGCCTCCTTACAATGAACAGAGGCCAGCCTCTGGCTCACAAACCCTGCCCTTCAGCCAAGATGTAGAGAAGATTGCTGGCTTAGGGCTGGGAAGACGGGAAGATGGAGAGACAGAGAGATAGGGTGAGGGAGCAAGAAGCAGGCACAGTCTAATGAGCAGCTGTGACCAACACAAACCAACTGCTTCCTGCCTTCCCTGTAGTCTCTGCCTCCCTCCCCTCTGTGACACACAACTAGAGCCCTAAAGAGCTGGATGACAGGCCTCCAGAAAGTAAGGGACATGGGACTTGGAATCTGCACAACTGGTCTTACTGAGAACTAGCTGTGTGGCCTTGGACAAGTGGCTTGACTCCTCAGGGCCTCACATCTGTAAAATTAAGCATTTGGGCTTCTTGATCTCTAAGGGAGCTTTTTGATCTTCTGGGGCTGTCCCAGAAGAAACCTCGTACTCTCCATAACACAACTGCACCACAGCTGAATTGAATCTTTCCAGAGAAACACACTGCCTTTCCAGGGAAAACCTCTTGAATGCAGGCTCAATGTAAGTAAACCCAAGTTTACTTAACTTTTTCCTAAATCAGAAAAAGCAGATGGTTCAGGAGGTAGAGAGGTCAGAGACGCAGCAAGAATAAAAGACACCCTGGTTCTTGCGTTCACTTTGCAACTTAGCTTACCGAAGCTAAGGCATTTAGCAAATCTCTGCATCGCTTTCCCTTCTTTTGCAAAATAGGGTTAAAAATGCCTACCCTGTCTTCTTTGAGGGGTTGAGACTGAAAGGGCTTAGGGCTTGTGAAAGTGCTGGCGGGGTAGGAATTAGACCTCTAAGACACAAAGGGGAGTGGGTTTTAGGGACAGCTGGTAGGGTGAGCAGTGGTTCCTGGGAGACAGGTGGCATGGGGATAGCTAGCCTTAGCTAGCCCACAGTGTTGGTAATCCCTGCCACAGCCATTCCTCCTGGCTGGTAATACCAGCAAGAAGTGAGCCAAAGACGGTTACTTGAGGGCACACAGATGCTCAGCCTGACTCTAGTCAGGTCCCAGCAATAATGAAAAATCAAGGCCAGGCACGGTGGCTCATACCTGCAATACCAGCACTCAGGGAGGCTGAGAAGGGTAGATTTCTTGAGCTCAGGAGTTCAAGACCAGCCTGAGTAAGAGTGAGACCCTGTCTTTACTAAAAATAGAAAAAAAAATAGCCAGGCATTGTGATGGGTGCCTGTAGTCCCAGCTACTTGGGAGGCTGAGGAAAGAGGATTGCCTGAGCCCAGGAGTTTGAGTTTGCTGTGAGCTATTATGCTATGACACTCTACCCAGGGTGACAGAGTGAGACTGTCTCAAAAATAAATACATAAAAATAAAATAAACAAAAATTATTTCAAAAATAATGACAAATCAAAAAGTGGCCAGGCGTAGGGGCTCATGCCTATAAATCCTAGCACTCTGGGAGGCTGAGGCAGATAGATTGCTTAAGCTCATGAGTTTGAGACCAGCCTAAGCAACAGTGAGACAACCTCACCTCTGCTAAAAATAGAAAAACTAACTGGGAGTAGTTGTGGGCACCTGTAGTCCCAGTTACCCGGGAGGTTGAGGCAAGAGGATCACTTGAGCCCAAGAGCTTGAGATTGCTGTGAGCTATGATGCCATGGCATTCTACCCAGGGCAACAGAGTGAGATTCTGTCTCAAAAAAAAAAAAAATCCAAATGTAACACTGCAGGGGTTCTTGGCTTCAGGAAGCCTTCCTCACACCCCCTTCCCCCAGGACTACATAAAAACAGGTGGCTAGGCATAGGTTAGAAAAGGAGCCTGCAGCTTCATAATAAGGCTTCTTTTAAGCTTAAGTAACTCCAGAGCAGTGAGAACTAGATTCAGTCTACCCAATCTAGTCTCATTCCCTGTTTCCAGGAATGCCTCCCCTGTGTAAAGCAAGTTCCACCCATCCAAAGTCATAAATCCAGAGTCGGCTGCAAGCCCAGGTAGGAAAGACAGGAATGAACACAACCAACAGTGCACACCCCACAGAGAATGAAGGAGAACCACAAGCTCCCTAGAGGCCAGGGCAGGGTCCCTGGCTCTGTTGGCTTCCACAGCCCCTGCCCTGGG